TGTGCCTGATGTCACACAGCTCAGCATTCGATCCCAGGACCCTTCCTCGCACCATCCATGCCCTGAAGCAAGGGCTCATTGCGCTGGAAATCCAAACAGTTAACTTACCGAACGGTCATTCCATGGCGAAGGTATAATCCTCCCACTTTACAGACGAGGAACTGAGGCCCAGGGAGCTCCAGGCGGTGACAAGACCAGTGTTCAGACCCCCGCCTTGAGTCTCTTCCCCACGGGGTGGCAGACTTTGTCCCTGAGGGCGGAGTTCCTGGCCTGGTGCTAGGGTTCCAGCAGTGAGGGGTGAGGCGGCTGCCTGCCTGAGAGATCTGGCTGGGCCCCAGAAGTCCTCCGTCCTCCTAATCCTCAGTAATGGCATTGACACGGACGGTGACAATGACACCTCCGGGAGCCTTGGCCAGCCTGGCTCAGGGAAGAGCCCGTGCCAGGGCTTATGAGCTGCTGCAAATGAGATTTCCCTGGCCGAGCCTCACGTCCCTGCTCCTGGGAGGCCAGACCGAGCTTTCCCCACCTGCTCCTGGAGCTGACGGGTGTCCCTGCAAGAGTGTGGCCACACAAGTGGGAGCCTGGGGTGGTGCGTTTGTGGGGCCTCCTGCCCTGGACTGAGCGTGTGTGTGTCTGTCATGTCTTGGGATTTCGGGGGAACTCTGGGAGCCGGGCGGTACTCACCTTGCCACATGGGGAGAAACTGAGGCTCGGAGAGGGCCTGCAGCTCACCCAGGGTCTCACAGCTGATGGGACCTTCATCTTCCCTGCTGATCTCCGCTGTCTGCATCCCCAGCTGGCCTCGCTCTGTCCACCCTCTCATCTACCCTGGGGAGTTAGCCCAACCCCCTCAGCCCCTCCCACACACCACAGTGCAGTGGGGGCTGTCCCCGGGTCGGGGGTCCAGACGCTCCTCTGACAGGGAAGCTTGGGAGTCAGCCTATAGTAGGGGGCCGAGAGGACGTGACCCCGAGGTTCAGCGAGCTTGAGTCCAGGGGAACCCTGATCTTGGGTGATGAGGGTTGTGAAGAAATAACGATAAAACCCCCGTTAACAACAGCGGCTGTCGTTCGCAGAGGCCAGGCACTGTGCCAGGCTTGCCCTCTGAGGGCGGCAGGGGTGGGGCTGATCCAGGACTCCCTTGGCTTCTCAGTTCTGAGTCCAGAGAGGGGCCTGGGACCTTGGAGCACCCGGGCGGAAAGGCACAAACCCAGCGGGATCACTGGGCAGCTGACTACCTGGAGAGGGGAGGCATTTGCCTAGAGTGACTCTGGGGTCTGCGGTCCTGCCCAGCTCTGAACTGAGACCCCTGCACCACCAGCTCTGCCCTCAGAGCAGCAAGGGCTGTGGGGTCTCACTGACTCTCCTTTCTGCCCATGAATGTCCCCATGAGAGGGGATGTCATACAGCATGCAACCTGCAGACCAGGAGCCCCCGATAACGGCATGCACCCTGGCTGTGCAGCTGTTTCTTCTGTGGTGGAAGGAGAGAGCGCCCCTTAAAGACAGCTGCTGCTGGGGCACTTGGGACCTGAATGGGGAAAGGCTCTAGGGGAAGGGTCCAGTCAGGCCAGGGCAGACTGCTCTTTGCTGGAACACGCCACCCCTCAATGCCTGCTTGCCTGCATGGCTGCACCCCTCCTGGGCTGTGCCACCAAGGCTCTGGGCAGAAGAGGCCTCTGCGCCCCACAGCTGCTTCCGCCGCTCCCCCTTCCCTCTGGGCTGGTCACAGGCTGCATTCTGGTGGTTCAGCCAGACCAGGTGTCAATTGTCTCCCTGGCCTCTGGGCCGGGGGAGGGAAGCAGGTGCCCGTGTCCCCCGCCCCCCCCATCCATCATCTAGATAGCTCACTACCATCGGTGCCTCTGTCTCAGACGCGCTTTCTCCTTTTCTCTCCTCCTCTGTCTGTCTCTGCTCGGCTGTCTTAATATTTTTGCTTTTACACCATTCTCAGTGCTCGCCTCCTCCCTGCAGCGCCCCCCTTCTTCCCGTCTCTCACCACCTGGGTATGTGGGGTGCTGCCCTGTCCCTCTTGCTGTGTGTGTGGGAGGACCACCCTCATGGGAGGAGGGGAAGGGCATGACTTTGGCCATGTGACCACTGGACCCTCAGCCTCAGACCTGAGAAGACAGGCTGGCGTCCCCACCCTCCACACCTTGAGTGTGTGAGCAGCTGGGCCAGGGGCCAAGTGCTGCTGTCAGCGCCTTCTCTGCCTCGGCCTCTCTGTTCCTTCCGTGGCTGCGTCAGGTCTCCACGGGTGGCAGGCAGGCAGGCAGCCCGCCCGGGATGGGGACCGGGCAGCTGATGCACCTGGGACAGGGCGATGGGAGCCTCCTCCCAGCTCCATCTGAGTCACGGGGTGGGTGGCAGCTGGTTCCAGCCCAAGCCATCCTGGAGACCAGGAGGAAGAGGAGCGAGGGCCACAGACAGGTCACCTTGAGGCTCAGGTGGGCAGAGCTCCGAGTGGCTGGGATTGGGGCACGGAGGGCCTCTGCCCACCCTGGACTGTTTGGGAAGAGCTAGTGGGGGGGCTAGCTCCCCTCCCACGTGGGCCTCTTCTCCCACGCCCCTCCACGCTCAGCGTCCTCCCATCCTTCGGCAGGGCCTGGGCTTTCCCAGGGCTCCAGACGGCTTGACTTTGCCCAATACCCTGGGTCTGGCTGTGGGAATGCTGGTTTGAGCAACTCAGATGTGAAGAGAGGGGCTGGAGTTGCACGTAGGCACACACACGTGTAGAACACACAGAACACACATGTACTTAAACATGCCAACTATAACATAGATGGGTGCTTGCATTCCCTGGGATGTCCCCGACACGCATACCTTCCCGCCCCTCCACACACAAGCACATACCCCCGCAGCGGATGCACGGGACGTGTGCACACGCGCCTGCCCGCACATCCTTGACTTGTACACGTCAGCACACCCCTGCATCAGCACTCTGAGCCACCTGCGTGTGCACCTGCATACAAATGCGGTCCCCAGACATTCCCCGATGAGGAGGAGGGACTGCATTGGAGCAGACGAGGGTCCTCTGACAGGCCGGCTCGTGGATCTCTGAAGTGGCAAGCAATTCCAGTACAACCTTGCTACCTGTGGGAGGGGAAACTGAGGCTCAGAGAGGAATAGAACTGGCCTGGGGTGCCCTAGGATCCGGTGGCCATGCTGGACGGGGGCCAAGGTCTCTGCAGCCCTGAGACCTTTGCATAGCACAGCCAAGGACAGAGCTGCTGTCTGCTGCCTGGGCACCCCTTGCTGCCTGGCTGCCTTGTGGCACCCCCAAGCTGGTTCTGTAGCGACTGGGGAGGTGTGAGGCTGGCCTCAGAGGTCCAGATCATCACAGCCTCTGACGTAGCGTCAGCCTTTAGTCCAGCGGACCATCTGGACTCCCTGTTCACCTCTCACCATCCCCACCTCGGACTTCCTGTGGGATTAACCCCGCCTCCGCACCCATTTCCCTTTCCTCTGTTCCAGCCCTCTGGGGCTCAGTGCTGTAAATTGGTTTTGCTTTAATGGCAAAGGTTTAAAAATTGTTTTAAGTGCTCTTTCCTGGACTTTCCCAGGAGGAGGAGGAGGAGAGAGAGGCAGAGGTGGCTGTTGTGAAAAGTCTCTGACTTTCTGTGTCCAAACGTGGATTTCTCAGACCTAATCTTCACATCCCTGGCCCCTGCTGGGCTGTTTCCATAGTTGAGAGCACAGGGTGGGGGCTGGGGCTGGGGTCTGTCCAAGGGGCTGTGTCCAGCTTGCTGGGCAACCTGGCCAAATCTCCCCTGAGTCTGTGGCTCAGTTTCCCCACTTGGAAAGTGAGGGTTGATGCAGATGGTCTGCTGCTGTGACCCCCGTGGTGCCTCCCTGCCCTTCTGCATCTTGGAAATGGGCAGCGTGAGTCCCCTGCTGCTTCTCCCCCATCAGATGGGCCGGAAAGGGACCCACTTTGTAGCTGTGGAAATAGACTCAGAAGATGTTGTGGTTTACCTAGCTGACTGGGCTGAGTAGATGTGGGGCTCCAGGCCTCCTGACTTCTGGCTGGGGCTCAGTGCCTTGGGAACCTTGATCCTGGTCCAGGCTGTGCTGTGTTAGTTGGGGCAAATCTCTGTCCCTCTCTGGGCTTCTGACTCTCCAGCCATGGAAGGGGAGCTGGGCCTCAGCCATGCTATTCCAGAAGGCTGGCCCCCTCCCAAGGATCAAGGTGTGCCAGGGAAGGCACTTTGGGGAGATGATACTGGGGCACCTCCGGCCTCCCAGAGGCTTGCCTTTCTTTCCCTTGTCTCTGCTCTGCCTGTGCGGTGAGCTCTCCCCATGCCCTCCCACTGTGGGAGACCCTGGCTTCTGCGTCCCCCTGCTTGGGGGGCCCCACAGCTGCGATGTTCTACTCCCCCTCCCCCATGGAAGCTGAGACAAGGGAATTATTTTTGGAACAAGAGCAGTTACACAACAAATGAATTATTTATCTTTGGGCCTGGAGGAAAGGAGGCATTTTGCTGGGCTTCTTAATTCTTTATCTGGATTCAGGGGTACCCGCTTGGGTACGTGGACATGTGTGTATGCGCCTGCTTGTTGTGTGCAGATTGTAGGTGTGCTCGTGTGTGTGTGTGTAGCTGTCTGCGTGTGCATGCCATGGAGGTCTGGCTCATGTGGGGGCATGTGGGTCTCTGTGCAGGTGGGGGGATGAGCGTGGTCTCCAGGGTGCTGGGGGGTGTGTGTCTGCACCTGTGCCCACCTGTTTCTCTCCGGTGTCCCTTCTGTGCCCATGGTCCTCCGACTCTGCCCCTACTCCCACTATTCTTCTGTCTCCCTCCATCCCAGCCCCTGGGCCCCCTCCTGCCTCTTGCCACCCACCAACCCCGCTTCTTTGATGTAACAGAGACCCCGGAGTGCTTGCTGGCACAGAGGCCCTGGGACGGGGTGTGGAGAAGGGACGGGGGGCCTGCGCTGGAGCTTGACGGGGCTGCTCTGAGCCCTCACACTGATCTGTCACCCACTCTCGATGCTGCCTTTCAGGAACCAGGTGCAGATGGGTCTCTTCCTTCCTGCCCCCATCTCCCTCACTCCCTGCTCAGTGCGGCACTCTCCAGCTTCCTGTGGGAATCGTCTGAAGTTCTGAGCCCGGAAGCCAAGGAGGAAGACGAGGAGGAGGAGGAGGAGGAGGAGGAGGGAGAGGAAGTCAAGCCCTGAGAACTCTTGCACCTTCCTAGCAGGAGACAAGGAGCAACCCTGCCGTGGGGCCCCCAGCCCCAGCCAGGCCTAGTGCCTGCTGTAGCACCCTAGAAGGCCCCCAGCAGTTGGCACTAGCTGTACCCACCTTGCCTGGGGCCCCCGTGCTGGGGGTTGCCCCCAAGATGGTGGCGGCCCCAGGGAGGACTGTACTGCCAGCCCCAGTCTCTGGCCGCTAGGCACCCCCTGCCTTGCCCCGGCCCCTCACTCCAAGGCCAGCGCCATGCTGCGCCTGGGGCTGTGGGCGGCGGCGCTGCTGTGCATGTGCCGGCCGGGTGCCGTGAGTGCCGACTGCTGGCTCATTGAGGGCGACAAGGGCTACGTGTGGCTGGCCATCTGCAGCCAGAACCAGCCGCCCTACGAGACCATCCCGCAGCACATCAACAGCACCGTGCATGACCTGCGGCTCAACGAGAACAAGCTCAAAGCCGTGCTCTACTCCTCACTTAACCGCTTTGGGAACCTCACCGACCTCAACCTCACCAAGAACGAGATCTCCTACATCGAGGACGGTGCCTTCCTGGGCCAGTCGAGCCTGCAGGTCCTGCAGCTGGGCTACAACAAGCTTAGCAACCTGACGGAGGGCATGCTGCGCGGCATGAGCCGCCTGCAGTTCCTCTTTGTCCAGCACAACCTCATCGAGGTGGTGACGCCCACCGCCTTCTCCGAGTGCCCGAGCCTCATCAGCATCGACCTGTCCTCCAACCGCCTCAGCCGCCTGGACGGCGCCACCTTTGCCAGCCTCGCCAGCCTGATGGTGTGTGAGCTGGCCGGCAACCCCTTCAACTGTGAGTGCGACCTCTTCGGCTTCCTGGCCTGGCTCGTGGTCTTCAACAACGTCACCAAGAACTACGACCGCCTGCAGTGCGAGTCGCCGCGGGAGTTTGCCGGCTACCCGCTGCTGGTGCCCCGGCCCTACCACAGCCTCAACGCCATCACCGTACTCCAGGCCAAGTGCCGGAACGGCTCACTGCCCGCCCGGCCCGTGAGCCACCCCACGCCCTACTCCACCGACGCCCAGAGGGAGCCGGACGAGAACTCGGGCTTCAACCCCGATGAGATCCTTTCGGTGGAGCCACCAGCCTCGTCCACCACGGATGCGTCGGCAGGGCCTGCCATCAAGCTGCACCACGTCACGTTCACCTCGGCCACCCTGGTGGTCATCATCCCACACCCCTACAGCAAGATGTACGTCCTGGTGCAGTACAACAACAGCTACTTCTCCGACGTCATGACCCTCAAGAACAAGAAGGAGATCGTGACGCTGGACAAACTGCGGGCGCACACGGAGTACACCTTCTGCGTGACCTCGCTGCGCAACAGCCGCCGCTTCAACCACACCTGCCTGACCTTCACCACGCGGGACCCCGTCCCCGGAGACTTAGCGCCCAGCACCTCCACCACGACCCACTACATCATGACCATCCTGGGCTGCCTCTTCGGCATGGTGATCGTGCTGGGAGCCGTGTACTACTGCCTGCGCAAGCGGCGCATGCAGGAGGAGAAGCAGAAGTCCGTCAATGTCAAGAAGACCATCCTGGAGATGCGCTATGGAGCTGATGTGGATGCTGGCTCCATTGTGCATGCTGCCCAGAAGCTGGGCGAGCCTCCCGTGCTGCCCGTGTCTCGCATGGCCTCCATCCCTTCCATGATCGGGGAGAAGCTGCCCACCGCCAAGGGGTTGGAGGCTGGGCTGGACACGCCCAAGGTGGCCACCAAAGGCAACTATATCGAGGTGCGCACAGGCGCCGGTGGGGATGGTCTGGCTCGGCCCGAGGACGACCTCCCGGACCTCGAGAACGGCCAGGGCTCTGCTGCAGAGATCTCCACCATTGCCAAGGAGGTGGACAAGGTCAACCAGATCATTAACAACTGCATTGATGCCCTCAAACTGGACTCGGCCTCTTTTCTGGGAGGCGGCAGTGGCAGTGGGGACCCCGAGCTGGCCTTCGAGTGCCAGTCCCTCCCTGCAGCTGCTGCCGCCTCCTCAGCCACTGCCCCCGGGGCCCTGGAGCGGCCCAGCTTCCTTTCACCTCCCTACAAGGAGAGTTCCCACCACCCACTACAGCGCCAGCTGAGCGCCGACGCGGCCGTGACCCGCAAGACCTGCAGCGTGTCGTCCAGTGGTTCCATCAAGAGCGCCAAGGTCTTTAGCCTGGACGTGCCCGACCATCCGGCCGCCACAGGGCTGGCCAAGGGCGACTCCAAGTACATCGAGAAGGGCAGCCCCCTCAACAGCCCGCTGGACCGGCTCCCACTGGTGCCGGCGGGCAGTGGTGGGGGCAGCGGCGGGGGCGGGGGCATCCACCACCTGGAGGTGAAGCCAGCCTACCACTGCAGTGAACACCGGCACAGCTTTCCCGCCCTGTACTACGAGGAGGGTGCCGACAGCCTGAGCCAGCGCGTGTCCTTCCTCAAGCCGCTGACCCGCTCCAAGCGTGACTCCACCTACTCACAGCTCTCCCCCAGACACTACTACTCAGGGTACTCCTCCAGCCCTGAGTACTCATCCGAGAGCACGCACAAGATCTGGGAGCGCTTCCGGCCCTACAAGAAGCACCACCGGGAGGAGGTGTACATGGCCGCTGGTCACGCCCTGCGCAAGAAGGTCCAGTTTGCCAAGGATGAGGATCTGCATGACATCCTCGATTACTGGAAGGGGGTCTCGGCCCAGCAGAAGCTGTGACCCCCCTTCCTCCCTGGTGAGGTCGGAGCCAGAGGGCTGGGGGCCCTTTGGGGGAAGGGTCCAGGCGGCCGGGGCGGGGAGCAGACTCGGGGGCCGAGGCCCAGGAGAGGACGCACATGCAGACCCGCACGCACGCACGCACACACACACCTGACCACCACCCGACTGTGAACAAACCAACATCCGACAATAACGGACAGGAAAACAGAGACACATTTTCCTTAAAGTTTACAAACTGATACCGAAACCAGTCGTCTACTGTGCTGCCCAGGGACTCTGCTGGGGTGTGCAGGGCCGGGGGCCGGCGTGGGGAGGAAGGAAGCCAAGAGAGGGTGTGGGGTCTGGGGGTCTGGGGCTAGAAACAGGTGTGGGGACCAAGAAGGCTCGGGTAGAGAGGGACTGAAGCCCCTCTGGGGTAGGGAGAGGGTCCCCTCCCAAGCTGGGGGTGAAGTCACCTGCAGATTTAGCATTAGACAGACAATGGGCAATGTCTCCTTCCACTTTAGAGAGGGGGAAACTGAGGCCCAGAGAAGGGAGTTGACAACCCCAGGGTCACACAGCAGCTTAGCCTCAAGTCCCCCAACTTCCCAGCCCAGTCCTGTCCCAGACCCCCTGCAGCTCCCTTGTGGACCCCTTCCTGCCTTCCACCCACCCTACATCCCTTTCTGAAGTTCTCCCCTTGGGGCTGAGGGACTTGAGAATCAGGCAGTGCTTTTTCTTCCTAGAAAGCCACATGACAGTGCCCCCAGAGCGTGCAGCTGTGATTCAGAATCCTGGGGGGCTTTTGCCCCCTACGCCAGCACCCAGGAGAAGGGAGAGGGTCCTGTTGATGGGAAAGGAGCCGAGGCAGGGCGACATTCCACCAGCCCACTTCAAGTGTCTTCCACGCGGCCTGGGAAGAGTAGGGCGTGTGGCGGGCAGGCCAGCTACCAGGACATCTCAGGTGCAGGTCCCCGGCCTCAGCTTCTCTGGTCCTCCGAGACCCCTGCCCACTGCAGAAGGGCAGCAGTGCACTGTGATGCCTGGGGGGCTGCAGGGAGGAGCTGTCATGGGGGACTTCCTGCCTGTCCCCATGGCCTGCGTCCCCACCTGCCCGACCCCATCGTGGGATCTCGGCTCCTGTCTCAGCTGCCCACCCGGGGAAGGAGGGCTTTCTTACCCACCCACTCTGGGCTGCTCATCCAGGCCTGGCCCCCTGGCCAGAGGGGCTCCCATGTTTCCATGGCAATGGCCACTCCCCTTTTTCTGACCCCCCACCCAACATCAAACAAAGCACAAACAGTGAGGCCCCCACCCGAGAGGGGCGGGGAGCAGGTTGGGTTCATGGCGCCCTGCCCCCTCCCAGGCGGCCTCTGTCACCATGGTAACCCTGTGCCTGGCAGTTGGTGCCCAGAGTGACCGTTGGGCTCTGGGGTTCTCTGTCCGTGTAGGCGGTGGCAGAGGGTGGTGAGGGTGGTGAGGGAGGCCCAGCCTGGCAGCAGCTCCTGGGGCCAGCTCTTTTGGGAGGCAAATCTGGGGTCCTGATACTGGGGTCTTGACCAGTCAGGATGCTGATGGGCTGAAGTCCATCATCCTTCACCTCTGGGTGGGAGCTGGGCCAGTGGGGTGTGGGAACGCTTGTACTAGCAGCTTTGCCTGCCTAGCAACGTGTCCCTTGGCTCCCACCCACCTCAGCATGGGGGGGCCTTGGCTCTCCCCACAGCCCTGCCGGAGACCTCCAGTCTTGGGCCTGTGGCCCACATGGGTTTCCTGAGATTTGGGGAGTGTGACTGAGGGGTGAGGGTAGGCACTGGAGTGGCACCAAGACTGGCACTGTTGGTGGGGAGGGGCTCTGACCAGGAAAGCTAGTGCCATCCCCTAGGGGACCCCAACGACCTTCCTGCTGGGGGCAGGGGGTGGGGGAGGACAGCAGAGGGCTAGGAGGCTTGGGCTCAGCTGAGCACCTCTCTCACACCAACTTTGGGTGAACAAAGCCCAGGGCTCACTTTGAGAGTGACGTTTGCAAAGAAAAGACTGTTCTCCCGGGGCGAGGAGGGGAGGGGGCGGCATGGATGCGCGGAGCAGACCTCCCTCCCCCGGCCCCCAAAACCTGCCCCCCAACCCCTCCTCACACCCAGTCGGCACAACTGAGAAAAGCAAGCAGGCAGAGAAGCCAGGGGTGTGAGGAAGCAGACTCCCTGTTATATTTGCATGACGATTTTACTGTATTTTTCTGAGCAAACATCTGTCGTGTATGTGCCAGTTTGTCCAGACTCCCCCGCCCCCTCTCTGATGCCCTCCTTTCCCACATTCCGTCTGTTGTGATCTGACGAGCAGCTCTTGAAACCCAGGGAGGGGTCAGCTCTGCAAAAACAGACCCAAAACAGGTGCCACCAAGACACAGCCCTGCCCCACACCCACCTCCTGTGTTTCGAGCATTGGGCCCAAGTGCCACCTCCCTTCCGCCCTCCCTCCTTTGCCACCTCCCTTGTCCCTAGTTCCTTCCCCTCCTCCATGCCAGGGAGGGCAGCCCCAGGGAAGCCTCCTCAAGGGCTTGTGTCCCGGTGGAAGGGACTGTCTCTCAGTCCCGCTTGTTGCCATTTTGCAGATGAAGAAGTCAGGGCTCCCAGACAGGGGCCTGGTGACTTGGCTGGCCAGCTGGGGTGGAGGATCAGTCACACTGCTGAGTATAGGAGGCCAGGAGCTTGAGGCTTCTTGGGGGGCTTCATGCAGAGGCTGGGGGCTTTGAGAAAGGAACCCGTGGGAAGAAGGAGCACGCCTGGGGTGGGCCCCAGGGAGGGTTCCCGGCAGCAGGAGTTGGGGGCCCGTGCTTACCATTTCCCCATCGTTCCTGCGTGAAGATATCTATCAAAACCTCAGACTCTGACTGCGGGGACAGGGGCCCTTCTAAAGAGCAGGACTCTGATCATCCACCGGGGGAACTGGCCTTGAAGACCCAGTTCACGTGGTTCTTTGTGAGGCCGAGCAGGGTCTAAACTCGGGTCTCTGGCCTCCCGGCCAGGCCAGAGCCCACCCCGAGGCTGGCCTGCATCTGTGTCCCGCATCCTGCTCAGGACGAGTTTTTCCCAGGCAGGCAGGAAGTATTCACAAAACGCTGCCATGCAAGGTCTGGGTTTGTGATGGTGATGAGCATGGTGGAGCTGGGCTGTGGTCTGGGGCAGGCCAGCAGGGCAGACACCAGGAGAGGAGGACAGGGGGGCCACAGGGAGGGAGGGGAGATGAGGGCTCGGTGGAGCAAGGGGCCAAGCTGGCTGAAGGACATGTGGGTGCTGCGCCCTGGACGGAAGCCTCCTGCCTTGGGCCCGAACGAGGTCACACCTGGGCTTGCCTGCCTCTGTTGGAGAATCTCCTCTGAAGCTGTTTCTGGGAAGTAGCATGATGGATCTGCTCCTTCCTGGAGGGCACAGCAGGTGCAGCTAACCCTCTGCTGGAGCTTATGGCCTTCCAGAAGCAAAACACAGAGGTCTGGAAGGAAGGCAGGGAAGCCTGGTTGGTGGGGAAACCTCGTCACAGGTCCCGGCCTTGCTTCTCCCCACGGCAGGAGGAGTCTCTCTCTGCCCACCAAAGATTCCTCACCTGGGCTCCCTTCCTGGGGCAGTGCAGGAGGCCTGTGGGGGCAGCCTGCGTCCAGGCTGGGGAGCCCGTGTCTGGGTAGGTCTGGGAAAAGGGCTGTCAGGGGAGTGAGGAGGGTGGGAGTAAAAAGACCCACTTGGGAAGGCCAGGCCTGGATCGCCCTCGGGAGGCAGCTGGGGCAAGGCAGCAGCAGTGGGGAGTGTCAGGCTGGCTGAGAGTCATCCATGTTCTCAACTGGAAGTTGGTCGCCTGCCCCACCCCCTCCTGGAAATTGAACAGAGAGGGGAAAAGAAGTGCAGAGAAGGAAAGGAGAGGAAAGGAAAGCTAGAGTCAAGAAACGAGGTAGCGACAGTGCTAAGGCCGGGATGGCATCAGGAATGAGGGACAACAGTGACAGGTCCCGGCTTATAAGGGGCCTAAGTGCAGGGAAGGGATAGACACAATGCTCTCTAGTGACTGGTGCCTTTTGCAGAAAATTTAAATGGGTGATGGGGTGGGGAGGGGCAAAGCTGGTCAGGGAGCGTCCCTTGTGGGATGGGGGGACAGGGAGTCAAGCTCTGAATGACAAGAGGAGCCAGAAGGGTGGGTGGGTGGGTGTGAACACGAGACTGGAGGGAGTGGGGTTGTAGTGGCTGCCTGCCCCCCAAGCCCCGCCTCTGTCCCCTACTACTCTGCCCCCTGGCCCAGCAGAGCCCCCTTTCCATGAATGTGGATGGGTGGGGCAAGCCACTGGGGAGCCTGGGGAAGCTCAGCCCTGAGGGGTTTACTTTGCCCGTGGAAGCCAGTGTGAAGGTTGGGGCAGCCTTGCCCGACCCCATTGCCATCTCTCCTCTCTGACGAGGTGGCTGCTCCGGAGGTGGCTGAGCCCCAGGAGAGGGGACCTCCTCTAACTCTCACGCTCAGATTCCATCCCGACACACTCCCCACCCCCGACCCTGGGTCCTCCCACCTCTAACACAAAACCAGGGTCCATACTGCTTGCCTCCAGAGGCAGCCTCAGCCCTCAACTAAAGGTCAGGCAGTCCTGCCGAGCAGGAGGGAGAGGAAAGGGGTCCTGTAGGGTGGGCAGGATGGTCTGGGCCTGCTCCTCCTTCCTCCTGCCCCTCTGCCACTCCACACTCCAGCACAGGGCTAGGACAGGGGCTTGGAGTTCCTGCAGTGGTGGCCACACTTCCTTCCCTCCTTCCCTCCCTCCCTCCCTCCGTCCGGAGCCGCCAGTCCCCAAGTTGGCTGTGGTTGGGCACCTGGTTTGGGTCCTGCAGAGCTGGGCTCAGGCCCTGGGCTCTGAACCTGTGAACCCTTGCTGTGTGACAAACCTTTCCTTCCTCTGAGGGCCTTGAACCCTCTCCTTTTCTTCTTTTGGGGGTGGGGGTTAACTTTATTTTCTCTTCCCTATATCTGCCTCTCTCCCTCCCCTCAATTTCCTGTTTTAAAACTGAATGGCACGAAATTGTTTTCCTCAACTCGGAGATTCCTGTATGGAGAGAATCAATTTCTATATTTGCAATAAATTTCTTATTTAAAGCTACGGGGCCACGGTCTATGCTGTATTCCTCCCACGTTGCACTGCTATGACCCTCGGTGCCCTTTTCCCCATTTCCCTTCCCACTGGAAGCCCCACTCATGGGGCTAAGGCTTAGTGGACGGCGGGGGTAACTGCCTGCGGTCAGGGAAAAAGAAGGGGGTCTGCCAGAGAGAGGGGGCCAGCGGGAAACTCAAGTCCAGGGTCACTGTGCACCCAGACGCTATAGCGTCTGATGGGTGGGGAGCCTGATGACCTCCCTTCCCAAAAGCCTAGACATCCCTCTGTTGTGTACTCTCACTCAATTTTCTGCTGCCCTGGCCTCCCACACCCCGGGATTCAGAGCCCTGTACAGGGAGGCAGGGCCATGTGGGGACATTCCTAGACTTCAGCTGCTTCCCAGGAGAAAAGCCCCCAGTCAGTGACCACAGTCTCTGAGGTCAGCCTCTTTCTGCCCCTGTCTCTGGTGGGTCCAGTGTCTCTGTAGGACCCCACTGGTCCTCCTCCACGCCTGGCCTGGGCAGCCTGTCTTGGGCCCCTGGCCCACCCCTCCTCTGGTGGCCTCCCACCATCTGCTGCCATTCTCCACGGCTGGGAAGCGATCCTCCATGGCTGGGAAGCGATCCTCTCTGGTCCTTCGGGGTTTCTGCTCCTTCTCAGATTTAGGAGATGCCTTGTGTCTCTGGTCAGGCTGAGGCACTCAGGTCAGCGTCCAGTGACTGCAGGCTGAACCGCCCAAGCCTCTGTTCGGGGCCAGCCTGGGGCCCACCTCCCAGCCCCAGCCTCCTTGCTTCCTAGAGGCAGAGCCCGCCTACCCTTTTCTCAGACTCTTCTTCTCCAATTGCGACAAAACTCTCCTCCAGGAAGGCCTGGATTCACCCTGGATTGCTATGGGGTATTCTAAACTCTGTGGGTCCGAGCTATTCCCTGATGTCACCCTGTGGCCTTCAGCCCAGCCCTAGGTCTGCAGGAGCTGTGTCCTAGTGGCTCTGGCGGCCCACAAGTCTGTCCTGCCCGCCCCCCCCCCACCCCGGCCGGCTATCTCCATTAAGAGTTGGTTGTACTCTGGGTACCCTCTGGGATGGCCCAGAGCCTGAGGCTGCTCACCTTCTACCGCCTGAGCCCCAGCTGGATGCCTGTCCCTTCCAAGTGCCCTCACACAGGCTCAGTGCAGCCGTCCCAAGGGGGCCACAGCCAGCCAGGGTCCCTCCTTTGCTCTGCTTCCTGCCAGCCCCAGGCCGCCTTCGTGAGGGAGGTTTCAGTGTGAGGCTGCACCAAGGGAGGAGGAGGAGGACAGCGGTACACATTTGTGGGAAGCACAGAGGGGTAGGCCCTGGACCCTGACAGGCTCTGTCCCCTCAGGCCCCTCAGCCAGGGCTGCCCTATGGTCCCCAGACCCAACCCTGGGCTCCAGGAACCCCCGCTCAGCTGCCTGCCTGTCGCACTGGGTCCCCGTTCTCTTCATCAGCAGGAGCTGCTTCTGTTGAAGGACTCATTCTACTACTCAGGAAACTTGAGAGGTGATCAAAGTGGTCCACGAACCTCGGGAGTCCAAGTCCAGGCCCTTCCCCTCGGCTGCCTCCGCCGGCCTTGGGCGGGGGGAACCCTGTGGCCCCTGGGAGTGTGGAAGTGTCCTCCGGGATGGCTTTGCTCCAGTGGGTGGAGATCCGGCCAAACAGTTCTTACTCAGGCTTAGAAAGTCGCTTTTATTCCTTAATGTTACAAACGCAAACACCCTTGCCTTTTCATTTCAACTCAGAAGTGATTCTGTTTCTAAACGGAGCACACTTAACACACGTGTTTTGGGGCTTTGGGCTAATTTTGGTCCTGTTTACAAAGGCAATTAGGGAAATGTCCTTAGCTACCCCCCACTTCATAAGTGTGGCATATCTGCTTCCCTTTCTGCACGCTTCAGTCATTTGAAAACCCAGCAAACGCTGTGAGCCCAAACATTTTCACCCGTGCTTGCATCTTAACATATGAGCCATCACTTAAAAAGAAAACCCCAATTCTGAATTAATGCCTTACTTAACATTATTTATTTGTAAGTGCTCAAGGACATTGGCGAATATCTGAAACACTGCACAGGCTCAGATATCGTGACACAAAATGTAGACGACAAAAAGGTGACGTTATGGCATAAACGTGTAATTTTTTCTGGGGTGAAGGGAAGTTCCTCCATCTGTTGGACGAATGTCTCGAAGTGTGGCTGTACCTTGTGGACAATGTTGGGTTAAAGCTGCTCTGTCGGCTGGGCCCCAGGAACTGGATATTTCAGGTGGGACAAGGGTCTGGGTGCTGTAGACAAGACCATTGTTGCCAGGGGCACCCCACTTTGACACGTTCTGTGTCATGCCTTCTAAGTGGGGTGCTCTTCCCAAGCCTCGCCCAAGGGCTCAACTGCTGGTATATAAGTTCTTCCTCCTTTTTCTTCCTTCTATTTTTCCAAGATATCCGTAACTCAGACTTCACTGACCACCCAGCCCTCTCCAGCCCGGGCAGGCTTCCTTCTCCAGCTTCTTTAATGTTCTTCCCCGTAGCAGGGCTCCAAGGAAGCTAGGTGTCCTCAGCACAGCTCCCTGGGCTCTGCTGGGGCTTGGTTTGAAGGAGTTGACAGTTCCAAGGTGACTCTGGTGACCCTCGTAGCTGCTGGGCCAGGAATTTCCTTTTCTCTTTAGTCGTTTAGCTGAATATTCCCCCTCCCTCAAGTTCCCCCTGCCTTAGCAACTATAAATGCTTTCCTTCCAGAGGTGGGCCTAAAAGAAGCCCTTGTGGCTGACTGCAGGGTTTAGGGGATCACTGCGTCTCACTGGTTCTCAGGGTCTCCTTTAGTCTCTGAAGGCAGGGCCCCAGGCACTCAGCCCCAGGCCCAGCATCTCAGAGGCTGACCTCCTCCTGCTGCTGTCATTGGTGGGTCCAGGGTCTCTGTGGGACCCACTGGTCCTCCTCTGGGCTCAACCTGGGCAGCCTGTCCTGGACCCCTGTCCCACCCGCTCCTCTGGTGCCCTCCCACCATCTGCTGTTCATTTTGTTCACAGCCAGGAAGCGCTCCTGCTCCTTCTCAGATTTAGGAGATGCCTTGTCTCTCTGGTCAGGCTGAAGCACTCAGGCCAGCATCCAGTGACCTCAGGCCTAACGGCCCAAGCCTCTGTTCGGAGGCAGCCTGGAGCCCACTGCCCAGCCCGAGCCTCCTTGCTTCCCAGAGGCAGAGCCCACCTGCCCTTTTCTCAGAACTCCTGTTCTCCAACTGCTACCAACCCCTCCTCCAGGAAGGCCCCTGGATTTGGCCTGGCTTGTTATGGCTTGCTTTAAATGAACTCCCTCGTTCTGAGCTATTCCCTGTGACTGGTGTCACAGTGTGGCACTCATCCCTGGCCTATGTCTACAGGAGCTGTGTCCTGCTGGCTCTCGTGGTCCATGGGGCTTTCCTGCTCCCTTTCTGCATCCATGGGAGTTGGCTGAACTGTGGGGACCCTCTGGGATGACCCAGGGCTTGGCCCCTCACCGTTTTCCTGCCTGGGCCCCACAGGCCCCTGGCCCCTCTGAGTGCCCTCACATAGGCCCAGTGCAGCTGTCCCAGTGGGGCTGTGGCCAGGCCAGTCTGTCTTGCTCTGCACCCCCAGCTCTTTCCTGGCAGCCCTTGTGCTTTTTCCGGAGCCCCTCATCCCTGAGGTTGCCCCGTGGCCCTGTGCCTGGCCTTGAATCCCAGGCGCTCCTTCCCTGCTGCCGCCATCACCCTGGCCTCCCCGAGGCTTCCATCCTGTTGGTGTCGTGAGGTTGGGGTCTGCAAGCCCCTTTTTCCAGGAAAGCCTTTACTGTCTGCTCCTTGGCCAAGGGAGACTTAGCTGATCCCTGCTGGCTCAGGTGTTTTCTTCACATTCTTCCCAGACTGTGGGGCTGGGGCATCCAACTCTGAGTTCTGCCCTTGGTCTCACTTTACCCCAGTTCCCCTGGATTACAGGTCCCATCTGCAGCTTCCTGGTCTCTGCATCTGAGGACTCCCACATGGGGAACTGGTTGGCCCCATGGGCCACCTTCCCAAGGCCCTTTGTCTGCAAGGAAGGAGACCTGATGCCAGGTGTGCATTGGAGGTGACGGTGCTGGCCTCCCGCTGCTCCTTGTTGTCCAGGCTGCTCTTGGCCTTGCCATGGTGGGAGCTCAGCCATTGCCCCCTCCCTCAGGCATGTGGGGACATGTCAGGAAGATAGGGCTTTTCTGTTTTCCCCACAACTCCTGCCTGGAGGGTTTCATGACTTGACTCCTAGGGCCCAACCTCCAGTTGAGGCTTGGGCTGCCTCTCCAGCATACGGTGGCAGCCCCTTCTCTTTCCCTAGGCCTAGGGCCCCAGCCTGCTGTCAGCTCTCCCCTCTCCTTAGCACCAAGCCCACCACAACACCCATTCCTACCCAGTCCCCACCCCAAAACCCCCCTCTCTCGCGGCCTCCTCTAAAACTGCCCTCACCTGCATCTCAGACAGTGCATCTTCCGTCCTCCCGGTCCTTGCCAAACTAAGCAAGGTCACGTGTAAAGGAGTTCCCAGTGGGGTGAAACTCCTCCAGCAACTCTCGCATCCCTTGATTTCGATAGCTCCCAGAATCTGCAATGGTCCAGGGGAGAAAACTCACCCATCTACCCCTCTGTCTTCTCACTTTTCAAACAAATTGTATGGCCCAGTCCCTGTATATTAAGCACCATGGCTGTGAGTATATAAACCTCAGTCCGGGGTCTATTGCAGAGAACCGAATTCTCTGTAACTAATTTAAGCAGGAAAAAAATTCACAAGAGGAAACCAAGAGGTGGATGGAATTGTCAGGAGGGCTGCAGACCAACTCGAGGGTGGCCTTTTTGCACTGACTTGTAAAGTAACTGCGCAGGACTGGCCCACCAAGGAAGCTGCCGCCTGTTTCTGCTTAATGGGGCTGCTGAGGGAAGGAAACGGTCCCTTGAGGGGCCCTGGGCTGCTGGTGCCGGGATCACAGCAGCTGCATGGGTACCCCCTTGGGTGC